GTTGGGGGGGCTTTAACATAAAGATGTATGATGCCATTTGTAAAACTAATTTCTATTTCCATTTAATCTCTTGTTGCCTGAGAAAATGCAGCTAGTAATTAAGATACCATTTTGGGTTTGCTTGTAAATGTTGCTGCCTTTCATTAAATTTCACACTTGTGAAAAGGAGCTATTAAGAGGCAGCCTCAGGTAACACTTTGGAATAGCTAACTTTGTTAAAAATACGTTTTCCAAATTTCTTGCAATAAAATGTAATTGCATTTTCTGCTTTTCACTTGTGTAGAAACTACTCACACATTATCCACTGGAGAGGAGACTTTCTGCTAGAGGGGATATTCTGCCGCACTAAGAGTACGGTGACTTCAGATTTCTTCTTGCATTGCCATTCATAATAGATAAGGTAAAATGGTATGTTTTCCAATGCTGTTTCTGGTCCCCCTTCCATGAGATCAGGAGGGCACATTGTATTTGCAACAATGCCAGATCTTTATTAGCCACGGACTCTAGCTTTGAACCACGTCTTGTGTCTTTGTTGGGGGTGGGGGTAGGGAGGGGAGGGGAGGGGATTGCCTGTGGACGATGGATGTGGTGGGGCATCAGTTATCAGAGGACCATCGATTGAGAGCTAGAAAAGGAGAAAAGGAGATTGGAGACAAAGGACACAGGAACCCTATTTGTCATGTACGTGGACACCATACAGTTGATTCAGAGTGATTGTAAAGTGACCAAGAATTCATTTAAAAATTTGCAACTAATGCCAAAATGTGTAATATCATACCTATAAGAAAGGAAGGAAGGAAGGAGGGAAGGAAAGAAAGAGGAAAGGGAGGGAAGGAGGGAAGAAAGAAACAAAGGAGGAAGGGAGGGAGGGAAAAAGGAAGGAAGGGAGGAAGGGAGGAGGGAGGGAAAAAGAGATGAGGGAGAAAAACAGAAGAACCAGTTGCACAATCCTATACTATTAAGCACTGCATCATACCAAATGGAAACTTTGTCAGGTTTCACTATGCTGGAAAGGCTTCAAGTACACTCCCCATAGGCTGTTTTTTGTCTGAGGACCAGCCATGCCTAACATGGAGAAGGGAGACGCTCGGTACCAGGAGGCTAACTTTGAGGTCATGAATTCTTTGGCCACAGGAATTTATGAAACAGAAACATATACATGCCAGCTCTCAGTCCTGTGCAGCGCCTGTGCAATCCTGACATGACCGGGTCAGAGCACTAAGAATAATACAGTTTAACTTACCCCTTGCTACTTTATTTGTGAAAAATCCAGAGGAAGGATGCTTCCACATTGGATGGGTATGGTTGGGTAGCAGTGTAGGTCCCAGTTACTCTGAACAATGAATCCCATGAAGCGATTGTATGAATTCAGATTTGATCTGCCTATTTGGATTGGGCTGGAACCAACGACCACATTTTATAGTTAATTATAATTTTGAATCTTGACAGTTTGAATAGGTGATCCCTTCACAGGCTTCATTATTTGCACTAATCAAAACCTAGTTGTAATGCCCACACTGATGAGGTCATGGATCCATTGAACATTGGCTATGAAGAAAGAGGTTGAAACACCAAATTTGGGCTGATAGTATTAAGCTCTTGTTAGATTGCAGCCATTTTTAATCTCAGTTTGAAATCCAGTAACTGTCATGAAACAGAGATGAAGACTCCTGCACCCTTTTCCTGACCTCCCAAGCCCTCCATTTACTCCCTGCTTATTCTTGTTTGGGAGGAAGTCAACGCCTTTAATAAGACATCCTGCATTAGACAGGACAGTTTTAGATTTCTCCCTCCTGACCCTCTGGGCTCTGTGTCTAATGAAATGCATTGACATGTTTTAGCTGTCGCTGTGCCTCACTCGTCTTCTTACTCTTCTTTTTCACTTTCTTCTTGTTCAGTAAGAGTAATGTTTTTTATAACATAAGAAATCCATGGACTAAACTGCAGCCCATGTATCTCCAGAGAATCTTTATGGCTGGTTCCATCTGCTTCTACAAATGGGTCCTTTTCTCTACAACATCCATCTCCTCTCTTACCCCACCTTCTTTTTCTAGTCTAGGTACCTGCACATTCATTCATATTCCTATTTCCAAGAGTAAACACCCAATAGGATAGACACCACTCACCTGCCCTGGATAAATCAGTTTTACCTAAGAAGTATTTATTAGGAGCCTAACTATATGTTAGTTACAAAGACAAAAATTAAACAACTGACCTCCACAACCTATTGGGGTGTCCACCAGGTTTATCTGTTGTGTTTTATGATGGCAAATCTAAAAATCTAGAGACTTTTACCAACAAAAGTATATTAAAGCCGGCAAACATTTATTAAGCACTTACTGTGTGCATAGCCCTGTGGTCAGTGCTGGGGAAAAAAAAAACTTGAAAAATAACATAACTAAAAAAAAAATAACATAACTCCTGTCCTTTAGGAATTCACTAGCTTCTTTCCTATATGGGCATTTTATTTGCAGAAAGGGACAGAAAAAAGTCATTGGTATGAGATAAGCAACTTTAAAAAGTTCTAAAAACTTGAGAGAAAACTGCCCTTCAGGTAAATGGGCTGAGAGGACTTGTATGAAATCACTTCAAAGGCATAAGTACAGGCTGAAGATGGGGTACAGCTACAGTGCATGGATGTCCATAAGCTCATTTACATATCATTATTGGGGTCAGGGTCAGAAAATTTTAGCTAAAAAATCATTGTTCATAGAACTGGTGGTTATGATGGGAAAATTGTATATTGTTACAACTGATGGAACTGTGGATTTTGAGTTTATCAACCTGAGTTAGTGAAACATAGGTTACTTCTCATGAGGAAGCCCAGATTTGAGGCAATAGATGATATGAGCTATATGAAAAGGAAAGGAGAAAACACAGCAACCATCTGAAGAGAGGAGCTGGTGGCAGAGACTGCCCTTTGATAGCCTTTGACCATTTATCTATTGGGGAATAGCTCTTGTGTGTGTGTGTGTGTGTATGTGTGTGTGTGTGTGTGTGTGTGTCTGCATGTCTATATGTCTGTGTGTTCTGTACATAATGGGCTCAGACTTTTATTTGACACAAAGATTTTCCCCCATTCAGTGATTTCTTTTGTTATTCTATCTCTATTGAGATAGAATTCACGCAAAAACTGTTTGATTTTATGTAATCAAAATCATCTTTGTTTTCCTTCCATTCCCTTTTAACTTTTTTCATGATGCCAGTCTTTTGTACTTTGGTTATATATGGTGTATGGTATAATACAGTATGTGGTATATGGTATAATACACTAGCCTAAATGCAATTTCTACCAAACTGCTGCTTTCTGGTTTTCCTGGCAATTCTTATTGAATACTTGGTCCTTTTACCGGCAATTCATTTTCTTGCGTCTGTGGAACACTAGGCTGCTGTTTTGCATGGCTCTGTTTCTTCTTTATCTAATCAGTTACTGCCCAGCTTCTCTGTTCTTTTTAGACAAATGCCAATTCATTTTGTTGCATCAGCTTTTGGTTTAATTATTAAATTGAAAAGAAAATTATCACAGAGAAATACCATTAAACACTCCTATTTTGTTCTTCGGGCCTGTATTAGAATCCGCAGGATAATAGGATAATGACCATGATATAACATGATTTTAGCTGTTACCAAGTTTTTGTTTTAAAAGTTTTTATGATTTTATTAAAAAAAAACCCAGAATGGAATCTTGAGAAGAATCTACATTTTCCTTCTTGTAAGAATTGTGGAAAAATAAAGCACCTAGATCAAGCAAGGAAAAATAACTTGGCTTGTGTTGTCAGGGTTACTAAGTAAAAGTGGGATTTTATTTCTTCCTACTCCTCCCCATCATGTAGGTTTCAGGTCTCTGTTTTAATTTGTTAATGTTAATAATGAGAGGGAGCAAAATATGATGGATAGAGAACTCGCCTTGGAGCCAAGAAGTCTTGGGTTCAAACCCTGCTTTTGATTGGGCAATGCCCCCAGGCAGCTCCCCAAAGACTGGAGAAGATACCCATCTTTAAGGGGAGAGGAATTTCTCACCTATAATTCCCTACACTGACGAAATCACAGATCTATTCTACCAAAATTATAAATAACAGGCTACATGTCTGACTCCTCATGACCCTCATTTGGGGTTTTTTTGACAAAGATACTGGGGTGGGAACAGAATCTGGAACTCAAAACGTAAAAAATAATGTTAAAAAAATCTTACATATAATTGGGGAAAAATAAAATATTATTTAAAAAAAGATACTGGAGTGCTTTGCCATTTCCTTCTCCAGCTCATCTTACAGATCAGGAGCTGAAGCAGAGGAACTGAGGGTTAAGTGACTTGCCCAGGGTCACACAACTAGTAAGTATCTGAGGCTGGATTTGAACTCAGGAAGACGAGTCTTCATCAGTTACTTCATAACAGTCTTAGGGTGGCAGCATACGATATTATTCCTCTCTTACGGATGAAGAAATAAAGATCAGCTGCTAAATTTGGTACTTTCTTCTTTCCCAGGCTGTCTCCCATCTGTCCACAAATGCTAAAATTCTCAAGCCATTCCCTTTGGTCAATTCAGCTTGCCTAGATGGGCCAAGGCAGATGTTTAAAATCTCCATGGTCAGTCTCTTTCGATACAAAAGGTTCATGTTATCTATGGAAGGGACTAGGGGACTGTCCAGTGAAGGCCCAGTCCTCCGGGAATGCATATGGGGCTTTGCCAGCTTCCAGGCCCCATGGAGCCCTGGGGACCTTGTGTCTGGCAATGTGTGAGAAGGCGTAATGGAAGGACCCTGTTTCTCTTGTTCAGAGCATAGAGGTTAGTCTGTGACTGTTTTCTGTCTGCTTAGCAAGGGGTGATGGAAAGCAAAGGAATAACAACTGTGCTGGAACTGAGCACACCTGGAGAATATACCACCCAGTGAAATCGCGATCTGTTTCCTGTTAGGGCGTGAAGCAAAGAGGGCTGCTGGCTTCTGGGTGGGGAGAGAGGGAGTGCCAGCAGCTTACTTTCACTTCGTGGTCTGTGAACACAGGGCCCGAGTGTTGCTTCTGTCTTCAATGTGTCTATTAGAAGAGAAGGTGAAGGATCACCAGAGATGAAACAGGGTGGGCTTTCAAGGTTTGGAAGCTTTGGAAGGTCACAAGAGCCAGAAGAGGCCCAGAACCTGGCATCCCGCCTCAGAGTCTGCTGGCAGCTGGGTCTAGTGGGAGTGTGGTCCTAAGGTAGGACCTCCTCTACTCCCCTGGAGTGGAATCCAGCCCAGCCGTGAAGCTAAGGCATCCAAGATGCCATGTGCTGTAAAGAGGGGTGTGGTTCACCCAGAGCGGATGCCACATTCGGATCTGAGCTTGCTGAGACAAGTACTCTTGCTGTATCCTTTCAGAAAACATTTCTTTGTAAATGCTAATTGGTATTAATTGATATTGATGAAAAATAAACTGGTTAAATTGATAGAAGACCATGAAATCAGTGGCATCAATGGTACTGATGAGATATTAATTGGCACTGACTGATACTGGGGAGGATAGACTAAAATAGGGGCTTGGGATGGTGGCATTAGAAAGCTCCTACTAAGCCCAGCACCCTGGGGGGAAGATATGACTTGCCTCTGGGGACCTAGTGGGAGTACAAGTTGCTACTTCTGTGATAGAGGAATCCCAAATCATCCCAGAAAGCATCAGAAAGTGATGTTTGCTGACCCATTAATTAAAGACATTCCAAGTGTTTCTGTGAAAACATAAATTTTACCTTCTATGTCCCAGAAGTTGCCATTTAAAAATTCTCAATGATTTTCAGAAAACAGAAAGTGTGGATACTTCATTCACCCGCATTTTGCCCTTTAAAAGTCTTCTTAATACAAGAGTAGCAAGATATGAGAGCCGTGACAATTGCAGCCTCTCTTGAGGTAATAAACTGTTACAGTTTATGAGTCATGTTAACAGCAAAATCTCCATTCCACCATTTCCTTTTAGCTTTTCTTTTTGCGATGAACATAAAATTTTCTGCCTGGAGTCTGGGGCTCAGCAAGGGAGAAAAAAAGCCAGACCAGAAAATCCGGTGAGTAATATTCACCCAGAAAATGCATAATCACCATCCTGCCTCCATAGTCACTGAGAAGGAGCCTGGCACAGCCCGCTGACCCCTACGGTCTGCAGAGCTCCCCCATCTCAATGGAAGCCGTCACGTTAGACCTTGCCCGGGTGAATCCCACAAGTGTCCCATGGCAGCCGGAGGTCACCGACTCTTACTTTATCTTTTATCGATTAAGTCGCTACCGATTCTTCCAGCGTTAGTCATTGAAGAGAGAGCTAGAAGGCCCCTTAGGGATGATTCAGCCCAACTTGGCTGTTTTTCAGAAGAAGGTCACACACAGAATTAGGGGGAGAACCAGGAGCCCAGGTCTTCTGACTCCCAGTCCAAGATTTTTTTGTTTTTCCTCCAACTACATCACACTAATTGGCCAGGTGGTATAAATAATAATAGCTAGCATTTAAAAATGGGGCAGCTAGGTGGTGCAGTGGATAGAATGCCAGGCCTGGAGTCAGGAAGACCTAAGTTCAAATCTGGCTTTGTACATTTATTAGCTGTGTGATCCTGGGCAAGTCACTTTACCTTATTTGCCTCAGTTTCCTATAAAATGAGCTGGAGAAGGAAATGGCAAACACTCTAGTATCTTTGCCAACAAAACCCTAAATGGGGTCACCAAGTCAGACATGACTGAACAACAACAACAAAAGCATTGAAAGGTCACATCTCATTTGAAACTCATAATGACCCTGGGAGGTAGGTACTATTGCTATCCCCATTTTGCAGATTCAGAAGCTGAGGCCACAGGTCATACAGGGTGGGATTTGAAATTGGGTCTTCTTGACTCCAATGTACCCCCAGCTGTTACCGTGTATTAGAGTTTTACTGATGCTCCTAATATCTTTCTAGGGAGGCGGTTTTCCTGATGCTCCTAATATCTTTCTAGGGAGGTGCTTTCTAATTTTTTTAAGGTTTTGAAACTGGTGGTGAAATCGGTGTGTGTGTGTGTGTGTGCGTGTGTGTGCACATGCATGCGCGCACGTGCACGCTACTGAGTGATATAGACTCCCCCCCACTTCCTGAGCATTCTGATGACTTCTAGCCACACTGTCTCCTTTCCTCCCGGAAATGCTCCCCACCCCTGAGGACAGTCGTGGAAGCCATCCCAGGAGCTTGGCCAGCAAGTGGTTCCTTGAACTGAATTGCTCCATAGTCCAACAGGTGAGGAACAGAGCTTGCTGACAGGCCTTCCTGCATCGTTCATGCCTACTCTGGTCTTCCATTCAATCCAGGGCCGGGATAATCTTTCTTAGGCGTACATCTAGTCAGGACACGCCTCTGCTCAAAAAATCCTCAGTGACTCCCTGTTGTCTCTTTCGCAAAGTTCAGCCCTTGTCTGCCTGTCTCTTCCTCGAGTGATTTCCCAACCTGGTGTCACTCTAACTTCTCAGCCTTATCTCACATCCAGGCCACGTGCTCTGGGTACTTGCCGTGCTGGACAGCTCTGTGTACCTCCCTCTAGGCTCTGGAATGCCTCCCTCCCTTCCCTCCCCTTGTCTGCTGAATTCTTACTGAGCCTTCAAAGCCCAACTCAGAGCTCGCTTTGTTGGGTAACCTCTCATTCTATTGTCAGTTAATAATGGTTGGTTGGTTGTTTGTGTCCTTCGTTCTCGAAGAGGACCAGAATGACACCTGGTCAAGGAACAGTGTGTCCGACTGTGGCTGACCAGACCAATGCAAACTCGGAATGTTCTACCACAGGTCGGGCACAAATAGTCCACGTGAACATTTGGGGAGGATTCTCTACATTTGCACATCTCACGTTTCTTTTGAGATAATAATATGGAGCATGGGAGCTCCTTGTGAGTGGAGATCATCTCATTCTTTGTACTTGTATTCCCAGCGTATAGCACAGCGCCTGGCACATAGTAGGTGCTTCATAAGTGATTTGTTGGTCGATTGGATGTTTATCTGTGTTTGGAGCTCTCCCCCCCACCCCCCGGCTGTGAGTTCCCTGAGAGCAGGGGACCACCTCTTATCTCAATTGTGTATCTATCTCCTTTAGCACCCACCTCATGGCTTTGTAGTAACTTCATTAAGATACGTTGTATCATATTGGTAGAAATGGCTAGGAGAGACTGAATTGGTAAATTATGCTGATGTTGGTAATGAGGGCAGGCCCCAGGAAGCCGGAGACTTGAGTATCTCAGTGGTGGTGTGGGCTGGGACACCTAGGTGGAGAGGACAGGAGATGCAGGAGCTCACTCGTTCTCTGGTGAAGCAGAGGCCCCGAGATGTCCTCTGGTCAGATGGACACAACCTCTCTGGTCTAGTTTGTTCTAGGAGGGACAGAGATTTGTGCAGACAGGATTCTGGCCAGGCTCTCACTTCGGACATTCTCAGAGCCTTGGGAGGGGAGATGTTCCCCAGCCTGAGGCTCAGCGGCACTCCAGGGCCAGCTCATCCTCAGGGGCAGATGATGGAGCATACACTTGACACTGGACCCAGTCCTGGCAGTTCCCAGTCCCAGGCCCCTCCCAGTTAGAAATGGCCATAGGCCCCAGGGTGCACATGTCTGGCTCCATGGTTAATCATGATTAACTGGTTATTAAGTCATCAGTCATTCACCAGAAATGATGATTAAATACTGTCGTTGAATTCTACCCAACACAGGAAAAGCTCTGGGAACCCCCTCCAACAATACAGATCCCATGAACAACTGCTGGTCTCAGGCCTAAGTCCAGGCCTTAGTATATAAATCCTATGCAAGAGTTCTCAACCAGGAGTCCACAGACTTGGGTTTTTTTTATGTTTTGATAACCATATTTTAATATAATTGGTGTCTTTTGTAATTACATGCATCTTAGTTTATTCATTTAAAAACATGATTCTGAGAAGGCATCCACAGGCTTCACCAGACAGTCAAAGAGGTCCATGACACAATAGAGATCAAACTCTCCTGGTGGAGAGAGTTGCCTGAGACCTAGAGAAGTTAATTGACTTACCCAGGGTCATTTGACTAGTAAGTTCCAGAGACGGGATTAGAACCCAGGTCTTTCTATGTTACCCTAATTCTAACCATAATTCTGTCTCTAATCCTCATTCCATTTCTAACCTTCAACTTCAGCACTCTATCTGCTTCTCTATGGAGCCTCCCATTCAATTATTAAATATCAGAAGTTATTTGTCCACAAACCCAGTATTTTCATGACTGTGGAAAAAGGCCCCTAAACGGTTGGAGGCTTTTCCTTCAAAAGAATTCTTAGAAAATTTTCAAGGGAAACATCCTGCATTGCTTAAAACTTGTGCTTTGAAAACAATTCAAAGAATCTGCATGTTGCCAAATGTTCATTTGTGGCTGGGCATACTTACTAAATCTGACTCACCATTACAGACCGCCATATTCTCTATGAGTTACAAAAGACTAGACAGCGAGAGTGTGTGTGTGTGTGTGTGTGTGTATGTGTGTGTGTTTTGAGACATGAGGGGAAGTCCTAGAATGTGAGAAGGCATAGGATCAGTGACTTGCTGTCTTTCTGTATCCTTTGACTGTGTATAGCCGTGCACTTAGACAATGTCATTAAAAATTATAATATATGTACAAGGAAGGCACCTTAATCAATCAGTCAATATAAATGATTGGGTGTGAAAAATGTGTTTATGCCTGTGACCCCTTTATCAGGTATGAATTCCTCTTTAATTTTATTAAGAATGGAACAGTCAAGGGGCAGCAGGTGGCACCGTGGATAGAGCACTGGTCCTGGAGTCAGGAGGACTTGAATTCAAATCTGGCCTCAGACACATGATACTTACTAGCTGTGTGACTCTGGGCAAGTCACTTAACCCCAATTGTCTTGCCAAACAAAACAAAACAAAACAAAACAAAACAAAACAAAACAAAACAAAACAAAACAAAAGAATGGAACAGTCATGCTCCTAGGGACTTTAAAAGGTAGAACAATGTTCAGTCTATCAGTCAACAAGTATTTATTAATCAATTTATTAATTTATTAATCTATTCATGGAGAGAATGCCAGCTATAGATTCCAGAAAGGCACTGCTGATTGGAGCCCAGCAGAGAGCTACATCTAAGGAGAGCTTCATGAGGGCACCATGAAGAGAAACACTCTCAGTACAGGACTTGTAACCTACCCCTTTGCCATATGTGGGCCTTGTTACCTTTAAGCTCAATTTCCCCAGGAACCTTATTGGGTAAGGGAAGAGTGCACCCTTGGTTTTTGAGGAAGGGGTGGTTTGTATCAATTGGTTTTACTATGCTGCTTTTTGTTTTTTAATACTAGGTCTCCCTATCTTACCCAGGCTGCACATAGAGAAGCCACTCACTGGCCCAGCCCCTCTCCTGATGAGCATGGAAGTTTTGATCTGCTCAATTTCCACCCTGGATCAGTTTACCCTTCCTTAGGCAGCCTGCGGGGAGCTTATGATCTCATGATATTGGTGCTGAACTTAGTGCTGACACCTGAACTTGAATGGCTTTGGCCCTACTACATTTCAAAACTCCCAAACCTGAGTGGTTCACACCTGGTTGATTATCAGTAGGAAGGACATTGGTGGGGGCTCATGAGCAACAGTACGAGAAACCCATGCCCTTCAGGATCATCCCATGAAACCTGAGAGTAGGAACAGTCAGCGACGCTCAGGGACTCCAACCTCCATTTGGGGGGGTAGCCTCAGAGGGTCTGCTCTACCTTGTAGACTTTGGCTGGAACAATTTTGGGGTTCTTCATATTTGCAAGGTGCTACTGGAGAGATCCTTCACCTGGGATTTTCATCCTTGAATACCTTAGTTGACAGGGATTCGGTAGAGGAAAACTGGCATTTTCTTCTTCTTTTGTTTCAGGCTGTAATCAGATGGTCTGTTTTCTTGGTTGTTTCCTTCACAGGTCAGACCAAACCTTCTGAGATAATTTTTGCGTGTTGGAATGGGTAAGTAGTAGTATCTGCTGCTTTTCTGTGAACTAATACGTGCAGCTTATCCATGCTACCAGTGACTCTCTATCATCCTCTGGATCAATTAAATCAAATCAAATAAAATCTTCTATTTGGCATTCAAATTCCTTTATAACCTACCCCCCTTTCATTTCTCTTATACCTCACTCCCCTCCATGTTCTCTGAGATCCAGGGATATTGACTTCCCAACTATTTCTCCCACAAAACACTCAATTTCCCAACTCTGGGCATTTGTACTGGCTGTGCCCCACACCTGTAATGCTCTCCTCTCCTCATTTCCTCCTTCTGGCTTCTCTGGCTTTCTTCAAGTCCCAGTCAAAATCCCACCTTCCACAAGAAGCCTTTCTTGAGCCTCCTTAATTCTAGTGCTTTCCCTCTCTTGATTATCTCCAATTTATCCTATATGGAGCTTATTTGTATATAGTTGTTTGCATGTTGTCTAGACCATTAGCGTGTGAGCTCTTTGAGGGCAGGATTGCCTTGGGCTTTCCTTTGTATCCTTAGCCCTCAATACTTTATCAGCTGATAAACTCATAAGCAAACCTAGACCGCTCACTTTCCCATGACGTGACCCCAGAAAGTTTTGTCTGACGTAAGCCCTTAGGGTGCAGTTTGGCTTAAAATTTCTAAATGCTTACTTCCATTTTGAGGGGCTCCATCCTCTTTAGGGCTTTTATGAATTTGTTTTGTCTGTAAGTTAACCTGCTGGTCCTGGTAAAGAATGAGTTAGAGATTCCAATTGAATTGACTTATACCTCATTAAGGAGCTTTGGGGGAAATTTGGGTGCCCTTTGGTGAAATGCCCCAGAGACCTTTGACATCCTAAGTAAAGACCTGGACACATTTTGGTATGCCCTGTATGGAATGAGAAAGAATGAAATGGAGATGTTTTGTCTAGACCTCCAGTTGCGTCACCCTGTAGTCAAAGAGGTTCATGGAAATGTTTTCATTCAGGAATTTTTGGTTTCTCACCTGAGGCTTATGGGGGTGGCTTCCAATCAAACTCAGGGCACCAGTCTCTGGAAGGACAACTCCACATGTTCCAGGAGTTCTGTAGGTACCAGGCTTTCCCTCTGGGGAGGGAGGCTTAATTTCTTTTTCTTGTTTCTTTATCGTCTTTGGGTTGGGAAAGGAAGCTCTTTCGCAAACATCAGGACAGGCATTAACCTATAAGAACTTAGTAAAATGATATCTGTTTATTAAGTTGTATCAGTATATATTTGAAAGCATGGAGGGATGTTAGTTTCCCATTGAACTGTGCCACATATATGTTTTCCCCTGAGACTCTTTAGTATAAGGCAAAAAAGACAATGCTTGAGCCTCCCCATCTTACTAGAGAGTTATCGGGAATTGTTGACCATGGGCTTTGCCAAACATTCCAGTTGATTTCCTGGTACAGCAAACGTTTGACTTTTGGGGGAAATGGAAGAAAAGAATTCAACATTACCTTAATTAACGAACAGACACAACAGGGATTTTAAAGTGTGTAAACAAAATTGTCTCTACCTGCGATCCCTTTAGCAGGTGTGATTGGCTGTTTAACTGAGTCAAGAAGGAAAAAAAACGGTGAGTGGTTAATCAAACAAACTAACAGTTTGAGTGTGAATGGCTTTAAATAGTGGTAGCAATTTCAGCAGCTGCTCAGTCCAGAGTGGTCTGTTCAAGTGGGGAACAAATCCATCGGTGGAAGACTAAATTCAGGGGCTAAGGATTCCACACTCTTCAGAGGAAATGGTTCTTGGGAAGAGGAAAGTTTCTTCCCCTCTATTTTCTTCTCTTCTTTATACCTCTCCCTCCCCCTGATTATTGATTGTATTATTGGAGAGACCAGACCAGTAGGAGACAAAGCATCCAGCAGAGAGAGAGAGAGAGAGAATGATACATACCAAGGCTGCAGAAAGACAGAAAGCAGGAGGAAGGGTACCAGTCAGCTATGGGCTCTACAGAGCTCTTGAGCTCAGCAGAGAGCTACACCCAAGAGGAATTTCATGAGTACTCTGCAAAGGAAGAAAAGGACCTCCAGGAACTAGGAGTCATCAGTTACCTTTTTGCCATGTGTATTCTCTACAGGTGTGCCTCACCATCATTATACTTTATTCCCACTCTTCACAGGGACCTTGTGTATGCAAGAGGAGAGTTGCCACCAGTTTTGGGGGAAAGTTTTTGTAACTTCTGTGTTCGATCTACCTTCTCAATGAATACCTTTCCTAAAAGCTAATTAAGTCTGGCTAACTATAAACAGGGATCACAGTAGTGGGGGCTTGTAACCAACAGCACTAAAAACCACAGCTCTTCAGGGCTATACAGTAGAACCCTGACGGGAGAAGTTGTTAGCTATCCACTGGGGATGCCAAGCTTTCACAGCGAGTGTCCAGGCAAGGTGGTGACCCCAGAGGGCATGCTGTGAATGAATGTGTAATAAAACCAACTCAGGACTCAAAACTCGATGTGCTTTTTTCCTTATTAAGTACAAAACCATATCAGTTAAACCTCAAGAAAATAATACATCACACGGATACTGCGATTCCCTACTGAAGCTTATTCAAACAAACCTGTGCCCTTGACAGATGGATCCAGGGACTTGTGGCCACATCACTGGGAGGGTTTAAGCCCTAAAGACATAAAGGGGGGGGAAGACAGACAGTAAGCCCATTCTCACTGGGAAGTGTGTGGTAGCTAGCCAGTCTAAAAGAAAAACACTCAGAGAAGACAGGTGAGGGGTTTGTGCCACCCCCCCACCCCAGCTCACACCTACCCTCACTTGCAGCCAAGAAGATTCTGCTCAAGAGAAAACCCAAATGCCACACAAGGAGGAGGAAAGGGTAGGTGAACAACACACTCATTCTCGCAGGAAAGCCTGGAACGACTGTCCAACTCTGGGCCCAGAGAGACAAACAAACCAGCCCTTCCACAGCAGAGAATGGATTCAGACCATCTGTTATCTCTTGCCAGCACAAAACAAATAGAATGGGGCTCAAGTCAACCAGCCATGGAACAGAAACAGAATAACAGGAATAACCTGAAAAAAAAAACACAACCCACAAACCAACAGGGGAAATCCATGTCTTGGAAAAGCCTTGAATCCATGGACAGCCACTTTCTCCAGCTCCCTAACAAGCTTTAAAAGAACTCTCTTATTGCTGAGTCATTTCAGTCATGTCTGACTCTGTGACCCCATTTGGGGTTTTCTTGACAGAGATATTGGAGGTGTTTGTTCATTTTATAACTCATTTTACAGATGAGAAACTGAGGCAAGCAGAGTTAAGTGACTTGCCTAGGGTCACGCAGCTAGTAAGCAACTGAGGCTGAATTTGAACTCAGGTCCTCCCTACTCCAGGGCCAGTGCTCTTACCTCCAATCTGACACCAGGAGGGAAGGAGGAAGTTTTCCTTCATTTCCCTGTGTTTAGGATATCCCACTTCTGATAACAAACTGTTGTGATTTAAAAAAAAAACCAACAACCATGTAATTACAATTTAAAATATAAGGCCGCAAAAAGTTCATTCCACGCATTCATCTACAAGCTTAGTCAGGGAAAAGCAGCAGTTGAAAATAGACAAGTATGTCTTTATAGGGCAAAAGGACTTCTGAATAGGAGACATTTCCCACAGGCACTTATGGTAAACATAAAACGCGTTGGACTCGTAACCAAGAAGTCACTGGTCGTGGGGAAGATTTGTGTTTGAGGGGAAGGCGCAGGGCCTTTGTAATCTGTTGATCTGATGTTGGCCTGGGGAATCTTAGCGAAAAATCGACGTGTTCTTTGGCCTGGGACAAGAACCGGGGTAAAGAGAGTTGAAATATAGGAATTAGACATGACTGGCTGTTTAACACTGAACTGGCTGCTTATTCTAAAATGACATCAGTCATATCAAGAAGGGAAAATATAGTGCCTCCCACCTCTCTATGTCAGCACCCCTCTTGGTGACCAAGTTTCTTCCTTTATAAAAGGAGGGACTAAACAAGCTCCTGAGCCTAATGTTTAGGGTCCCCCACCCCCACAATCTGCCTCTTAGAATCTTTTTAAGCCTCAGCTCATATGCCACTTTCTCCAAGAAGCTTTTCTCTTTACCTTTCCCACTCTCTTATCTCTCTCCCCACTTCTCTTTCTCCCCCTCTTCTCTTTCTCCTTCTCTCTCTCCTCCTGTTCTTTTTCCCTTCTCCTTTTCCTCCTCCTCCTCCTCCTCTTTATTCCCCCCCTCCACTCCCATTAAGAAAAAAAGAAAACCGACCCCCATTACAAACAGACACTGTATAAAAGTCAAACAAATTCCCTCATTGGTCATGTCCAAAACTATGTCTCTGTACTTTTGAATTCATCACCTCTCTATCTGCAGGTGGGTAGCAAACTTCATCATGAGTCCTCTGCAATTGTGGTTGATCATTGTTTTGATCAGAGTTCCTAAGTCTTTCGAAGTATTTTTTGTCTTTACGATATAGTTGTTCTTGTAGAAACTGTTCTGCTTCTGCTCACTTCACTGTGCATCAGTTCATACAAGTCTTCCCAGGTTTCTCTGAAACTGTCGCCTCATAGCACAGGAATATTTGGTCACATTCATATCCCATAACTTGTTCAGCCACTCCCCAGTTGATGGGGAATCCCTTCAGTTCCCAAGCCTTTGCTGCCATGAAAAGATGCTATCAATATTTTGCATATATGGATCCTTTTCCTTTTTCTTTGATTTCTTCAGGGCGCAGACCTAGTAGTAGTATCAAACGGTCAAATGTATGTACAGCTTAGTAGCTCTTAGGGGATAGTTGCAAATTGCTTTCCAGAATGGCTGGACCAGTTCACAGCTTCATTAGCAGTTTATTAATAATGTACCTGTTTTTCCACAGCTGCTCCAGCATTTATCATTTCCCCTCCTTTTTTTGGTTAGCTTTGCCACTCTGATGAGCGTAACATTGATAGCTCAGAGTTGTTTTAATTTTCATTTCTCTAATCATTAGAGATTTAGAGCATTTTTTCATATGGCTATTAATTGCTTGAATTTCTTCCTCAGAAAACTGCTTGTTCATATGATTTGACAATTTATCAATTGGGAAATGGTTCTTATTATTATAAATTTGAATCAGGTCCCCATATATCTTAGAAATGAGACCTTTATCAGAGAAACTTGCTGCAAACACCCCCCCCCCCGCCACTTCCTGCTTCTCTCCTAATTTTAGCTGTACTGGATTTGTATATTGTGTCCTAATCTGTTCTACTAATCAACCCTCTATTTCTTATCAAGGACCAAATTGTTTTTAATGATTTAATGTTTTAACATCACATAGTTTGAGAGCTGATAATGCTAGGCCCCTTCCTTACCACTTTTTTTTTCAATGAATCCCTTTGAATTCTTGACTTATTGTTCCTCCGGATGAATTTGTTATTTTTTTTCTAGCTCTATAAAGTAATCCTTTGATAGTTTGGTATGGCACTGAATAAGTCAATTAATATAAGTAGTATTGTAGCTTTTACTACATGGGCTTAGCCATCTCAAGAACATTTAATATTTTCCCTATTATGTGGCCTTTGCAGAGTTGTCTTCCTCCATTAGACTTTGAGCTGGCACATAGTAGGTGCTTAATAAACAGTAGCTGACTGACTGATCCATAGCTCCAGACCCAGTCTTTTCCTTGGATTTCGGCCCCACTTCACCAAGTGCCTGGGCTAATGCAGTAGTCAAACAAATCCACCCAGTTCTACTCTCTTCATCTCTCCAATCCTTTCATCATATTGTTGTCAGAATAATCTTTTTTTACATACCAAGATCTCGTCATGTCCCATTTATGCTCAGAAATCTTCACTGGCTCCTTGCTACTTTCTGGGGCCATTAGCCATGCACTCACTCTTCTCCCCTCTTCCTCATCTCCTATCACTTAGATGCCTTTGGCCGCCTTCTCCTCCTTTATCCATCTTACATAGTGAAGTGGCCTTAGTCCTTACCGAGGCTGAGCCCTCTGACTGCTCAAGTGATACCATTACATCCCTGTCCTCCAACAGACTTCCCCCTCTGTCATCTCCACTCTCATTTATTTTCAGTCTCTTCCTATCTACTGGCTCATTCTCTACTGCCTACAAATATGCCCATGTCTCCCTCATCCTCATCATCGCTGCTAAGAATTATCCTATCCTTCTGCCCTTGGCAGCTAAACTCCTCCAAAGGCCGTCTACAATAGGAGCCTCCCCTCTCTTACATCTCTCTTGGTAACGCTCTATAATCTGGCTTCCAACCTCATCATTCCATGGAAACTGCTCTCTCTAAAGTTACCAGTGATCTCTTAGTTGCCAAAGCCAATGGCCTTTCCTCCATCCTCATTCTCTTTGACCTCTCTGCAGCCTTGGACACCGCTGATTACTCTCTCCTCCTTTACATTCTCTTCTCTCTAGGTTTTCAGGATACCTTCTCTCCTGGTCCTCCTCCTCCCTCTCTGACCACTCCTTCTCTGTCTCCTTTGCCAGATCTTTGACAGATCATACTCTCTAACAGTAAGTGTCCCTCTGGGTTCTGTCCTAAGCTCTCTTCTCTTCTCCCTCTATACTATTTCACTTGATGATCTCATCAGCTCCCATGGATTTAATTACCATGTCTATGCTGATGACTCTCAGATCTACCCCTTTCCTGCCCCAGTTTCTCTGCTGATCTCCATATACCTGCAACTGCCTTTCAGACATCTTGAACTGGATGTCCAGTAGACATCTTAAACGTGATATCCAAAACAGAACTCACGATCTTTCCACCCAAACCCTCTCCCCTTCCTAAAACTTCCCTGTCTTGTAGAGGACAACATCAACCTCCCATCCCTCAGGCTCTCAACCTTGGAGACATCCTGGATTCCTCACTATCTCACCCCACCTCCCCCATCCAAGGTATTGCCAAGGCCTGTCACTTTTTACCTTTGCAACATCTCCCGAATACATCCCCTTCTCTCCTCTGACACTGCTTCCACCCCTTGCAAACCCTCATCACCTCCCCCCTGCCACTGGACTATTGTCATCGCTGCTGGTAGCTCTGCCTGCCTCAGTCTCTCCCCACTCCAATCCATCCTCCATGTATCCACTAAAGTGACTTTCCTAAAACTCAGGTCTGATCATGTCACACCTCATCCCCCTACTCAGTAAGCCCCACTGGCTTCCTATGGCCTCCAATAGCAAATACAGCATGCTGTCATTTGCAGTCCTTCATAACCCGGTCCCCTCCCCCTTTTCTGGTCTTCTTACACATATTCTTGGATCCAGGGACACAGGCCTCCTGGCTGAGCCCCCATCTCTTGCTTCCAGGCATTTTCTCTGGTGGTCCCCCAGGCCTGGAACCCTCTCCCACGCACATGCACATACACATACATAGACATTCACATGCACACACACACACACACACACACACACACAGAGTTCAGAAGCCCCGCTCTAAGGCTATCACTTGCAAAGAAGGTGCCAACCTGCATTAAGAAAGGGCGTTCCCCGGCCTGGGAGTTCCCTATCCCAGTGAAGACGCGGGTCTGCTCTTAGATTGGGCCGAACTGTCCACGCCTCTGACTCGCCGCTCTCTCACCTCCTTACTCGAGTCCTTCCCCTGTTCCTGTGAGGTCCTTCTTCGCCATCTTCGCCTGCGAACTCGAGCCCATCACTTAAAGCCCAGCATCACGCTGCCTCTTCCTCCAGGAAGCTGGCATCATGCCTCTCCTGGGGAACGACGCTGGCCATGTGAGCTCAGACAGCGCTGCATCGCCCATGCTTGTCAGCCTCCTCTTGCAGCACTGCGTGGCCTGCTGTCTGGGTGGATGCCCAATCTTCCGCTAGACTGGGGCTCGGGAGAGAGCGCATCGTAGCTATTTCCCTCAGCACCCTGCACGTAAAGTGCACACAGCAGGTGCTCAATAAATGTGGTTGTTTCTGAGGATTTGCATTTGGACCTGAAGAAGATTCACTTTCTTTTGGTAAAGTATTCTGGGAAGGAGTAATGGGACCTTCGCTCACCTGTCTGCAAACCGGAGGGGCAGCCTCCCAGCTCTGCTGCTCAGATTGAAAGTTATTTTAAAACCTCTTAAACTGTGCATTTTAAAGAATATTATGGTACCCCGAAGGCCAATAGCACAATTGCTACAAATTTAATAAGTAATTAAGTATCTTGAGATTGGATGCAAATTCATTTGAGACGCAAAATGTTTCTGTAATGCAGACATGTCCCTCTAATGGATTTAGATCCAGATGCCACTGCCTCATTTGCCAGGGTGGATGCAGCATTAGGCTGTCAGTCCCCTGCTGTTTATCATTATTTAGTATTATTAGAGGTTATAAGCATACATAGTGCTTTGGAAAGTGGTGGGAAGGCACGCAGTTGGGAGAGGCATAGAGCTGGGGTCTTTGCCCTGAATATCTAAAGTGGGGGAGAACAAGTCTGGGGGTTACAATGAATGAAGCCTCCATAGCCTGATTATGAGGAAGCTCTTGGAAGAGGCATCTGCCCAAAGGACTCTCTTAATGCACTGGAGTGTCTCCCTCCCTCCCTCCTTTCCTTTCTTCCTATCTTGTTCCCTTCTTTCCATCCCCCCTCCCTTCCCTCTGCTCCCTTTTTCCTTCCCACCCCCCATTCCTCTTCTCCCTTTCTTCCTTCTCTTCCCTCTCCCTCCCTTCCTTCTCCTCCCTCTTCTTCTCACCTCCCATTCCTCCTCTCCCTCCCTCCTTCCTTCTCTCTCTTCTTCCTTTTTCCCTCCTTCCTGCCCTCCCTCCCTCCCTTTCAGCTAGGTCTTCCTATCTTGCTCAGGCTGGATGTGCAGTGACCACTTCAGTCTGATCTCATCACTAATCAATGTGAAAGCTTTGGCCTGCTCGGTGTCCACCCTGGGCGGGTCTGCCCCTCCTTAGGCAGTCTGGTAGCCTCATGACCCTGGGGGCTACCCACAATGGTACCAGATCAGCTCTAGTCCTACTATAGCTGAGAATTCCTGTGCTCAGGTGATCCCCAGCCTCATTCTCCCCAGTAACAGAGATGATAGGCATGCACCAACCCGCCTAGCTCTCAAGCGTCTTTCTTATTAGTTTGTGTCAATTGAGCTCCTTTGGCTTATTATCAAACTTTCATTAATGGTCCTTGTTCCCCTCTAAAACATTCATTTAGCAATTGGATACACCATTTCCTTAGCAATAGCAACATAACATAAATTGCATTTCCTAAGGCAACAGGGGTCAAACTCCACAGTGTCCATAAATCCTCAACCTTTCTGTCGGCCTTACTAAGATGGCCGAACCTGTAGCTTGTCACAGTGATTTAAAGCCTCATGACAAGGCCGGCAACAGGCTGCAGTACTCCATGGTCGCCTCTTAGGGGGGGGCTGAGGCCATCTGGAGGTTCCAGGACTCTGACTTCGGTAAGTCAGGGACTGACCTTGTCCAGAAGCATCAGAATTCTAACATATATGGCTGGGTGGCGAAGCTTCAGAACACAGCAAGGCCGTCTGGTTAGTGATGGTCTCTACATCCTAATGCTTTTTGGCTTTCAGGATGCATATGTGTTTATTGATGTCCCCCTAGGGCCATAGCTCTGGCCCCATATGGACACCATTTGTCTGTTTACCTAACCAAGGCGTATTTCATTGTGTATCTAAACATTACCACTTTGACTGTTTATGTCTAGATTATGCCATGCATGATAATATCAGCCAACCGGACTACAGAGAACCAGGACTTCGTCTTGGCTACATTTTGGGGTCTTCTGCTCTACCCATAGTCTTCTTGGTGAAAAGAGTTACACTAAGGCTTACATAGTGAGAGTTACAATTTTCTTGGCCTTTCAATTCTAAAGACAGAAAAGTTTAATTCTAGGCTTATGTAAGCAGTTAGGAGCTTCTCTTCTTATGAAGAAATACTGGAAGACTGGCCTTTTATGACACACGTTGTGATGTCTGGAATGGATAGGAGCAAAACGTTACGATGTGTTGAACCCGAGACTTGGAAGCACAACTGGGTTCCAGTAGAGGAGATGTGGCTAGACATGAGAAAGAGAGAAGGATTTCAGAGAATGGCAAACGTAAAATAAGTCAACTTGGCAGCCGAGAAAGCTAACGCAATGTTAGGCTGCATTGAAAGGCGGTGCCCAGAATGAGAAAGGCGATGATCCTGCTGCTGTCTGCCATTAGACCACATATGGGGCATCAGTTTTAGGTACCATATTTTAGAAAGGACATTTACAAAGGAGAGGGCGACCAGGTTGATAAAGGAACCAGAAATCATATCAAGATGGAACTGGGAATATTGACTCTGGAGAAAACTTAGAGAAGGATATAGTAATTGTCTTCAATAAATTTGAATGTTTGTCATATGGAAGAAGGATTTGTTTGATTTTTTTCTGCTTGACCCTAGAGGGCAAAACTAGGAGCAGTGGACAGAAGATAAATACAGGTTTTCCCTCAATTGAGCTTTTCAAGTGAATGTTGAATGGTGAGGGTTGTTGTGGAGGGGATTGTTTTGTTCATGGATGGGTCAGACCAGGTGGATCTGAGGTCCCTTCCAGCTCTGCTGGGTGACTATGTTCAAGACCTTCCCCTTTCTGACCTGGTTTCCTTCTCTATAAAGTATCTAACAGTGATAGCTCACATTTATAAAAGATCTTTATAGTTTGTAAGGTTTTCTCATGTTTGTTATCTCATTTGAGCCTTACAATAACCTTATTATTCTAGTTTTTTTGGACACTAAACCCAACCTGCTTAAATAGGGAGAAATGACGCCCACATCAGATAAAATAACCCTCACAGGGCCATGAGGAGCCTTTTGTAAAGCATGGAGTCCTGTAGAAATGTGAGCTGCTGCTAATACAAAATAAACCCGAAAGAAATATAGACTTCTTGAAGCAAAGCGAGGATCTGTGATCTGTCTCTTCTATCTTCTGTTAGTTAGGAAGCCAGTAATAGAATAATCTACTTTCCATGAATTAATTTATTAAATTTGTCTTCTAACTCAGGTTATTTAAAAAAAAAAACACCATTCCTTTGGGGTTCTCCGTCTTTAGCATCTCAGAAAGCAGTCATTGTTTCAATGATCTCCAGGTCAGATTGAGGTCAGCTGAGTGACAGCTTTCAGTCTGAGCTCAAGGCTCAAGGATAGACTAAATGATGCTTAGATAATGGGTGTGGGGGGGGCAGGGAAGGGCCCAAGCCCCTGTTGATCATTGATACATTGGCAATGTGCAGTCTGTCTGCAGTCCTTTTCTTTATAGTGCTCATTCCCTGCCATGCAGATTTGACAGCACCCAACATGGTGCCTGGCATTTTGTAGGAACTCAGTAAATAGCTGAACAATTTTTCTGGTTATTATTCTGTATGACATGGACCCCACACCCAAGGAGAATCCTGGGAGTACAGAGGTAGCTAGATAGCTTGAAGGCTGCACAAGACAATCTTCCCTCAAAATTCTCTTGTAGAAGTACTGTGTTCATTCAATAAGCATTTACTTAAGCACTTAGTAAGTAAAAGGTATGGGCCACAAATCTGAAAAAAAAAAAACAAACAAAAAACCAAACAAATGCAAGTCTTCAAAAGACCCGTGAATTCAGCAGCATGGCTGCCTCCAGCAATCCAAAGCACAGCTCATGAGTGGAAAGTGCCAAAGAGGCTTATCACTCTGGGGGCCACGCTTCAGCACCCAGGCCCCCTAAGTTTGGCGAAGCTACTACTTGGATGTGAAGAGTCAATGAAATGACAGTTGAAGGCTACGTGGGCCTGAAAGCACTTCGGAAAGGCCAGCTCCGCAGCAGGTGCGTCCACAGCCTTGGCCTCAAACCTGGTTAGGTGGGAAGCTTTGCTGGAATAGAGCCTTAGGAACGTGGTGTCACCTTCACACCACTGTAAATCATTGGAGTCAAACCCTAGTAGAGGAAATCATAAATATGAGAAAGACCACAGGACAACAATGTGGTAGAAGGTGGTGTCTGACCTGGAGGGAATGATAGGCTTCTGGTGGGTGGAAACGGGATGGTTTTGCCTGAGCAAAAGTAAGGAGGTGGGAAAGGTGGGGCATATTTGAGAACCCCCAAGAAATCTATAGGTCAGAGGGCATAGCATGTGAAGAAGAGTGGTTTGGGATAAGGCTGCTAAGGCAGAATGAGCCTGACTTTACAAGCCTTGAACACCAGCCTGTTTGGACAAGGGTTCAGTTTGGCATTCTGCCAAGCGAATGTTATGTGGAGAGCTGGGAGATGGTGTGTGAGAGCAAGGAAAAACATCCAAGGTTCGGCGAAATGGGCCTGATGAGGGCCAAAAGAGCAGGTCTAGAGAGATAGAGAAAGGGGAGCTGCCTTCAGGGAGATAACAGGGTATTAGAAAGTAGCTGTTGTTTGGTTCTTCTGAGGCGGCAATATATTTAAGTTACATATTAAGACATAACTTTGATGGTGAAAAGCTGTAGCATCCAAAAAAAAAAAAAAAGCTTTAGCATCCCTGCCCTTTCCTGACATCATTAAGGGTTGACAATTATTCCTCAGGGATTGTCCTAGTACCAAGTGCCCAGAGGAGGACAAAGGAGAGGTACAACCTTTGGAGGCAGAAACCCTATTCCCAAGGAATTTTGCTTTGGTAATTGGAACAGCTTAATGTGGTGATGATATTCTGAATCTGTTATTTTTTTATTTGGCAATTTACTTTTTATGGTGTTTGTCTACATAGCTTTAAGTTGCTTTTGAATCCAAAACCCATTTCCATATCGATGAATTTTCCAATTGTTGCTTGTGTGATGCCTCATCGTACATACGCAAAATGCCATGATCCACAAAACAGAAAATAAAATTGTTTCTGTTTGTAAGGAAGAATTCTTTGTCATAAAACCATCTCTTAAATTAGCTTGAGAATAATAAAAAAAGAATTCATACAACTCTAAGTCCTTACACTTTGGTGGATAAATATTGCCTATATCTTATCATCTTCCACTGTTTGGTCCCTTCTCATCTACCTACATCCCCAGCTTATGCTTCCACGGCCTCCAGGTGTAGACCCTCTTCTCGGGACCACATTGATCGATCTGCTTGCATGTTCATCAAAAATACCACGTGCATTCTTTATTCTATAGGGGAATACCCTCCCCTCGTCTCTCCACTCATCTAAATCATATCCTTCCTTCAAGGCTGAGCTCTGGTCCCAGCTTCCCTATTGCTGGTCTAGTTCTGGGTGCCTAATTGTACTCTCCTTTAAGCGCCAATAGAACTTGTCATCAAGACCTTCCATCTGACATATAATACTGGCTGGTAACACACAGGTAGGCCCTGTCTCCCTGGCAGTCTCTCAATGGCAAGAATAGCCATGTTTCATCCCCAAGCACCCAGTATAGTTTCTAGGACATACTAGGAGTTCAATTTCTATTTCTGCTGATGTTATAAAGAGACAACTCTGGGAGTGGCATTACCTCAGCTTTAAATATTCCGCAATCCAGTGATGGTATTTGGAGCAACAGGAAATTTTACAGAGATCAGATACTGGTGGTGCAAAGGAAGGATCAAAGTCAGAAAAAATTTAAGAGTTGGCATCAATGCTTGCAGGCTCATCTGATACTGTTGGCTGCTCAGAGAGTCATCTAGAACTCTGGAGAACACACACAGTATTACACAACATGACAATGAAAACTGAGAGAGCTCATGCTTTTAATAGACACTGAAATCACAAAGGGAGAAGGCCGAATGCCTTAGCAATTTCAATAAAAATATGAAATTCTTTTTACATGGTAAATTTCATAATATAAAAAGTTTAATGCTGTCTGGAAACACAGAGTGTATTTTACAAAAAAAAAAAAAGTCCACGCAGGCCAAACATGGCTAACACTGCATACAAGGAGGGGCTGCTACCTGGGGGACACATCTGGAGATGGACTACAGTTGACCAGTGATCATCCTTGAGTTTAACATCTTTGAAGGATCCAGCAAAAACAAGGGCTCAGTTCACAAACCACATGGACAGTCTCTTTAGACAAAACAGCAAAGTGTGGTATGAATGTGATTCCACTTCCACTTTTCTCCTACTTGCTAAAAACATTCCTGATGATTACTTCAACCTGAACTGGAAACAGTTCTCTTTGTGGGCTTTGTATAGACAGGGTAGGCAGGGAGACAGACAGGAGACAGAGCACGCCTACCCGCAATGAGCAACGATTCATTATCACAGTTTCACCCTGGCAGTTTTCATTGTGTGCCATTTATTAAATTAGGGGGTAAAGAGAGAAATCTGTCACTGAGATACATTGGTCTGGATCAAGTAAGGAGGTTTTTATTTTTATTTTTTGAGACTGATTCTTACTATTTTCACTCTGCTCAAAAATCACCAGTGTATCAAGATACTTTACTTGTTAGAATCAAGATGTATGTAAAAAAAACCAAATGTGTGGAACAGCAAGTACTGTAGTCTTACTGTCTCAGTTTTGTCTCTGGATTAAGTTTATCGGGAGGAGCAGACTTGCATTGCTTATTCAGTGACGTTATAATTTGCAAATGGTATAAGCATAATTTGGAAAGGGCATTTTGCCTTTCTGGCTTTAAACAAACAAAAACCAAGGGAAAAAAACCCATCCAAATGCCATCATCCACAAAATGGAAAATATAATTCTTTTGGTGAATTTCAGGTCCCCAAATCTGGTACCTGTCACGTGCTGGGGCTCAGCTTGTCCCACCCCAGGAAGAAGGACAAGGGGACTGCTGTCCAAGTGGGGAAATGTAGGTTCAGAATTCACATCAATGCCAGTCAATCATATACACAGTATGACAATGTCACACATTATTAACATAAATCCAACTCCCAAATGTGGCTTTAAGCATCATTCAGAACAGCGCTCCTTTTCATCATTTACACACAACCGTCTTTGTCAATGCCAAATCTTCATGCTGTCTAAATTGCATACTTTATCCCAAGCTTACTTTACATTAGCAACTCAACTGTATTTTGTAACTTTATGCTTATTTTTACCAGTGTAAAATTTCTGGGAAGGAAGCTCTGTAAACGGAGCCAAGTGGCCCCGATTCTACGGCATTATCTGGAAATGTTCCCATTCTTCTTTTTCGACTTTGAATCTCACATCTGAAGTTTTCATCGGGGGCAAAGAGCTGCATACACCATTTTGGTTACTAAACATGAAAAGCGTCCCCATCCACAGGAATGCTGCCCAGGACAATGGCCTCAAACATAAGCCATGATGCTTAACAACGGTGCTCTTTGATGGCTAGGTTATCACCAGGTATTATTTCCATTGGAAACAGTTGCAGCAGTCATGGGCACTCCCCCAGATGGTCTGTCCCTTCTTGG